CTCCTCTTCAAGACCCTTGATTAGTTTTTCATTTTAAACTTGGTTGCTTTGGATTATAGAGATTCAATTCTTTATTGAGGTAGGGGTGGTAATATATTTACTTTAAATGTTTTATGTCCCTTTGAGGTCTAATATATATTGTGTGCATGCTTTTAATACTATAGTCTTGCATATTATAGGAAACTCTCACATTTTGACTTAGGGTTTATTGATTTAAGCATGAATGATATGTATATATCTTGTGTAGAAAGATTCTATGATTTAGTAGTATGCTAAATTCTAGTATTTTTACATGTGGTAGTGATATAGAACTCTTGAAGAATTATTAATGTTATACACAATTCTTATTGACTTGAATTGCTATATTTATTGTGAAGATAATTCTATATTCTTGTTGATTGTTTTTAGTATATAAAGCTTATTGTTGAGGCATGATTTAATTGGTAAGTTGGTGGTATTGCTTTGTACATTATATCATGATGATGACTTATCATTTATTATGCCATTCTAGATTTGGAACCCTAAGATATGGTTTGTGTGGTTTCAAATTACTTGTGCATGGAAGGTGGTTTACATACCTTGATTGTTGTATATAAGTTTTGAACTTAATCATAATTGTGGACTCTCTTGGGACATTGTTACAATTTTTATGGCTAGAATTTGGCTCTAGTGCGGGAGGTACGAGTTCTCCCCGATTGAGATAGTGCGCACTAGGGTAGTATTCCCAACGGGTTAATGCCCCGGAATAACCATTTAGGTCTTGGTTTACTCTGGAATTTGATGTCCAAGTTTTCCACTATATGGTTTTGCATTCAATTCCAAGTTGACAACCATTACTTAATTGTGACTTGTAATTTTGGTTATTGGCGATTTGATGCTGTTAAGTACATCCATATTGATATTATGTTGTGATAGAATCATTTATGTTAGTTTAAGATAATCCTTTAGAACACCTTGAACATAGACATTAAGTGGAATGATCCATTGTATTTGTCTATATTATCTCGCAATGATATTGAAACTTTAGGGTATACGCATATGCTTTTTCCTACGAGTAACTTGATTACTCACCCTAGTTGTGTGGGTTATTTTACAGGTAAGGAGACACTGTTCTTAGATGCTAATTATCCTTAGCGGTTTATGAGCAATTTGAAGCATTTTTGTATATTGACATGCATTTGTTTAACATGCTTCACCTTTGGTGTTATATTTTGGTATACCATGGATGTATGGTAATTTGCAAGCTAAGGTGGTTTCTTGATATGTAATGTGTATCTAAGTACTCTTTTTGATACTCATCTTGCATGTATAACATGAAGCCAAGGGCCATTAACTTTAAAGTTCATAAGTATGCTTTGAAAATCAAGTATTGCCATTGTAGCCTATTTTGTGAGAATTTGAGGTTTGGTATGCCAAAATTTGTAAATGGATTGTAATAAGACCGTAGGTCATTGTAGCACGTCTACTTTATCATATTACGTATGCGTACATGTTCACTTTGACACACAACACCATTCTTGATGAAATGAATACTTAAAGTTGCATTTTTTTTGAATTTTTACCCTTTTTCTGATCTAGGGGCATTCTGGGTATTTCATAGTGTGTTTTTTTTTGTTTTTCTTCACGTTGCCAGGTAGAAAACTCGATTTCGGGGGGGAGGGGGGGTTTCTTCTTCGTGTTTTTCCAAAAAATGTCATCTTGGCCTCAAAAACCCATTTTTTCCTGAAAAGCCCTTGCTACCAGGTTTTTATTGATTTGTAGTACAAGTGTACAGGTGGTGGATTCTAGTAACCGGTTACATGTGCTTGGGTAAGATGTGGTCACCTCTATTTTTGCCTCGTAACCGGTTAGAAAGGTCTCCTAACTGGTTAGAAGGTCTTGGGTTGACTCCTTTTGATATTTTTACCCCTTTTTCTTCTGTTAGCCATATCTTCTTCGTCCGGACTCTGAATCAAGTGATTCTTGAGTTTAAGTTTATTAATTTTTCGTTATCTTTCCAATGGTGTGCATGGTAACACCCACTTTTATTTTAAAAATGACCATTTTGCCCCTAGATTCTTTCTTGTCCGTTTTTGAAACGTCACTTCCGCATTTGTTTTCTTTGGGTTCCGTGACCTTATTGAGGGTTACATTGGTGTTTTAGAGACGTGTTGTATATCTAGAAACTGTTGTTTCATCTTTCGCTTCTGCATTTCGGATCTGTTATCGGGTCATCTTTTGGTCATCGCTGACGGACCGGGTTTACAAAACTTGGGTCGTCACATTTCCAGAGGTTAAGGCAAGTGTTTATCATTTTATATCTGCAGAGATCATGTTTGTATATATATTTAAGCTGTAATAGATTTTGTGCTTGTGTTTTCTGGTTTACACTTCTGATATGAGTTTATACACTTGATATCTTGTTGTGAGTTATACTCTTATCATCTGAGCAAATTTATATTATTGATTCCAGGCTGCTCAAGTTAAGTTATGCACAGAGAAATGGTCACTTGTGGTTTTAACCTTTGAAACCCTAGTTTTAATGGTTTTTTTTGGCAAACGTAGTCCTTATTGAGCTGTAATTGTTGTATAACTTGCTAATACTATTAATATCATTATCTGAACATGTGTATAATGTTGATATAAGATTATGGGAACCAAGTTCTACTCTGTGTTGATACGAAATTCCAGTTTAATCCCTCATACTACTTTGAGCGGTATAATCATTCTAATATTTTGTAATAACTTAAGTATTATTGATATACATCTTTTATAATGTATTTGATGAGCTGTGAGAGCTCAAAGGATCCAACCAGGGTTGCTTAGGACAGGGGGAGTGCCTCTGCACATTGTTTGTGAGGTAGGGTGTGTGTGCAGAGAGTGAGACAGCTGAATGTGTTTCTTCTTGCATTACAACTAATGGATTTGCACTGACTGAGGCTAGGAACCAAGGTTTTTGATCTCCAGTTGAGAGAGATTTTCCTTGTAAAATCACTGAGCACCTATAGTTGTATGTGTGAGCCTTTATCTGTTTTGAAAATTGACTAAGTGTTGAAGAAAAAAGTTTAAAAAGAACCAATTCACCCCCTATTGGTTCATCAAAAACCCTTCCCAAATTAGATGATGGTATAGTTGATTTATATTAAACTTACAAAAAGTACTATGAATTAAGACGACCAAGAAATATGACATTCTTTTAAAATAGAGTAATGATAAGAGAATTAAAAAGGAATTCCCAAATTAACACTGAATTTGACGTGGTTGGCCACATCAGCTTCTATTGTTTACATTTTGACATCTTTTTCTCCTTTTTGTCCTTATATTTATTGCATACCCTTCATTTTCTCTTTCTAAAATTTATCAATCTCATTCTCAAAATAATCTCTCATTTGTTTATAAGTTCTTATTACACCTGTAAATCTTTCATCTCCCTATTCTTTTTATGTTGTTTTGTTTCTTTCAAGAAGACCAAGTTAATAAGCCAACGTCTGATGAATAGACCCATTTTGATGAATTTTAGAGATTTGGGTTTATGTGTGGAAGAGAGATGATGATGGTTATGGGTCAAGATGGTGGCCATGGTAGAGTAGGAACAAATTTGAAGGTATTTGAGATATTAACAAATGGATGGTGGAGGTGATGTGAAGAGCAAAGAAATGGAGAAGATAGAAATGTATATCAAATTCGAGAGAGAATTTCATAGAGGGAAAGAGATGTGTTAATTTTTAGAGGGAGAGGTAAAAAAAGGATTGCACAGAATTATGAAAGAAATTCAGGACCCAAATTCGAAAAAGAGAAAATGAATAGAATTTCAGAGAGAGAAGTGAAGTGATAGAAACTTAGAGAGAGGAAGTAAAGGATAGACATTAAGGATGCACTTGCCATTTGTTAAACAATTATTTTTTAGAAACTGTTTAAGTAGATGAGGTGGCCAAAAACATGTCAGATTTGGTGCCTATTCGAGGTTAATTCTTCGGTCCCCCTATCATTATTCTTTAAATTACTAATCAAACCTTGATCATTGTTTTTTTTGATGGCAAGAAACACACACCACTTACACACCCTCTTTTATATCTTTGGGGACTCAACCCTCACCATCTATTTTGGGAAGTAAAAGAGATACAACCAGACCACAAGGCCTTGTTAAACCTTGATCACTTGAATCTTTTAGACTTTTATAGATTTTACATACTTAAATATGGCATTCTTTTTAATCATTTTCTTAAATAAAATGTTAAAATTCTTTATTTTTTAAAATTATTTTTAAATCCAATATTTATAACTCCATATCAATATATATATATATTTTTCTTGACAACTCCATATAAATTGATCAAGGTCATACTCAAATATTTCTTGACTTGAGAAGGAATTAAAATTGGGCTAGTTTTGCTACTAATTTACAAAAACAGTAAACCCGCCTCGCCTCACCCCGCCCTGGCATTAAATGGGGGAGCGAGGAGGGGTTGGTTGTTTACCTGCCTTGTTGGGACGAAAATGTATGCTGATTAAAAACCCGCCCCAGAGTAGATGATGGTATGATTGATTTATATTAAAATTATAAAAATATTATGAATTAAGGCGACCAAGAAATATGACATATTAAGCAATCCCTAATCACCTTCACCTTCTTTGTTTTTTTTTTTTTTTTTTTTCATGGTAAGAAACACATACACCACTTACACACTCACTTTATCTCTTTGGTGACTTAACCTTTACATCTATTTTGAGAGACAGAGGAGATACCATTAGGCCATAACGCCCATAATAAATTTGATCATTTCAATCAAAAATTGGGCTAGTTTTGTTACTAAAATTTTATTTTAAGTCCAAGGTTTGCAACTCCATATAAAATTATTATTATTTTTTTCTTGACAACTCCATATAAATTGATTAAGGCCATACTCGAATATTTTTCTCACTTATATTCTTGACTTAAGGGTTAAGCCACACTAATCCTTCATCGAAAGTTGAAAAACAGCTGCGAAAATAGTACCGAATTAACTTTAAATCTTATACCAAGTATTTAAACTGCCTAAATTACCCTGCGACATGTGTAGTATAAAATTATTGATTTAGGGTTCATAGGTTATCCGTTCACTCTCAGGGGTCTGTCTCTCTCTCTGCCTCCGCCGCTCTCTCTCTTTCTTCTTCGCCAAGGTGAAATCCAAAATCCTCTCTCTCTCATTTTATATTTCAATGCTCTGATCTTTTAGTGATGGTTCTAAGTGATTAACGAAACATAGGATTCAGTTTGATGTCCCAAAATAGGGTTTTTATTTTTATTTTTTTCATTTTCATTTTCATTTTCATATCATAGGTATTTGTTGGTATGTAAATTGATAGATGAGAAATTAGGGTTTTGCCTATGCCCAGTTACCATGCAATATGCTACTGTATTATTTACTCTCTTGCCTTTTTTATTTATTTAAATTTTTTTTTTTCTCTTTTTGTTGTACAGATTTGTAGGTCTATGCATGTGTTTATGTTAGTATATTTAGTACTCTTAAAATTGGGGCTTTTGCCTTTTGTCTTGCTGTCAAGTAATCCTCTTTCAGTGACAATTTGCTGAGAAAGCAGCCTATTTAAAGTTCTGGGTTTGCTTAAATAGTTAAATGTGATTTAAAGTTCTGGGTTTGCTTAAATAGTTAAATGTGATTCAAAGTTCTGGGTTTGCTTAAATGGTTAAATGTGCTATTGCTCTTATGAAAGCGTGACTCATTCTGATACTGCAATTGCCTAAATTTTCTTTGATGATTATTTACTTGACTTCTTCTTGTTAAGTTCTGTTTTTATATTGTTATATCACTGAATGGACAACATTTAATACCTTCCACCCCAATTCCTTGTGTTGTGTTACTGCATTTGATGATGTATTTCTATTTATTCTTCTCATTGAAATGGCACACAAGTGGACATGTGTATTTACAGAATCTGATTTGTTATTCTTTTGGGCTGCTTTTATTTATTTATTATTAATTTATCCCGGCAAGAGACACACACCCACATGCCCAAATGGGGACTTGAACCCTCCACCTTCCACTTTGGGAGGTAGAGGAGATATCACTAGGCTAAGCAGCTTTTGGTTTTTGGGCTGGTTGCCTGATGTGACAATGGGTATGTTTACTCTGTAATGGGCAATGTGGCACTTTCGTATGTTGTGGTTTGCATATTGTTAATTTACTATTTGTTTTATCATATGCTTGATATGTAGTAGAATTGGTTCTATCTTATGTACTTATTTATTCTATTTATCAATGGTAGATGAATGTAGAGAAGCTAATGAAGATGGCCGGTGCAGTTCGCACCGGTGGAAAGGGTAGCATGAGAAGGTATGTGTTGGTCTGGAACTTAAGTAGGATTCTCTTTCACTTGAGTGAATTGTCTAATGAATTTTTTTTATGAAGCTTACAATTATTTTATATTTTTAATTAAATTATCTTTAGAATTACTGACCAAAGAAAAATTTGCTTTAGAATTTCGTTAGTTAAATATTCTGCTATGTTTCTTTACAAGACAAATATGAAAACAACCTTCTAAATCTACAATAAATTGGTTCTGTAGCATAGTCCCTTTGCTTGTTACTGAATCTGTTCAGACTTTATCATTGTGTTGTATTAATTGTTCCTTCAGAATCTGGCTTTCTAATATGGGATATTTAACAAGTTGGTGCAAGTAATAGAGGTGGTTGGTTCCTGCTGTAGGTGGCTCTGTCACCATTGGTCATCAATGTTTTTGCTTTGTCATCATCATCATCTTATTGTGTGTCATTTTCTAAGTAATTTAATGGTTTGATAATTGGTAGGCTTGAGACTTGCGCGGTGAGTGTACATGTATCATACGTAGAAACCGACATTTTTTATAAGTTGTATGTGCTGCTAATTTGCAATGGCAATTTGCCTTTGTCAGTGTACGGCAATTTGCCTTTGTCGGTGTACCTTTTGTTTCGGAGAGAAGCTGAGGGGGTGAGAAATGGTATGATTGGTAGGTCTGAAACTTGGGCGGCGAGTGTATATGTATCATACGTAGAAACCCACATTTTTTATAAGTTGTATGTGCTGCTAATTTGCCTTTGTCAGTGTACGGCAATTTGCCTATGTCAGTGTACCTCTTGTTTCGGAGAGAAGCCGAGGGCATGAGAAATTGTATGGTTGGTAGGTCTGAAACTTGTGCGGCGAGTGTACATGTATCATATGTAGAACCCACATTTTTTATAAGTTGTATGTGCTGCTAATTTGCAAAGGCCATTTGCCTTTGTCAGTGTACGGCAATTTGCCTATGTCAGTTTACCTATTGTTTTGGAGGGAAGCTGATATTTAAGTTTGGCATCTCATCTCCTGACATTTTGCTAAATAGTTTAATGGTTCAGTCATTTGCTTAATAGTTTTTGATTTTATGTTGTGGCATATATTGTTAAGAAATGGACATTTGGGTGTTAATGAAGCTTGAATAGTGAGTTTGAGATATGCACTCCATGGAGGTAGATAAATGGTGAAGTCCTCTTTGAATTGTCCAAACCAGATGTATAACTTATTCCTGGGTTTCAATTTGCTGGTTGCTGCAGGTGCTGCTATTTTATGAAGGCATAGTGCCTTTCAATTAGTTTGATTATATGTGGCAACCTAAGACCACCTGTGGGTTTGATTTCATCAATAAAGCACAATTATTTTTGTTCCTTTTTTAGTTTATCATTACTTGCACATACATCTTTCACATTCTATCACCTAGGTTATTCCTGAATGAGTCAGTCCATGTCGTCACTCTGTCTGACTCCATTCTAACAAGTCACTTGCATTGTGCCTAAAAGACAGAGAGTTTAGGTCTTCAAAATAGGTCTTATCTCATTTCAAAAAGGGTAAAGCGAAAATATTAACTCGTAAGGTTTGACATGTACCAACACACAGGCACACACTTGGTGAATCACATGAAATCTTAATTACCATGCATATATATGGATACATGGGGTGTCTAACACCTTCTCCCATGTATCATCTAAACTCCTGGCATTGTACGTCTTTTCTGCTTGTTGTTTAGTATCATTAAATCTTCGTTCTTAACCACAGAAAGAAGAAGGCTGTTCACAGGACAACCACCACAGATGACAAGAGGCTTCAAAGCACCCTGAAGAGAATAGGGGTGAATGCCATACCTGCAATTGAGGAAGTGAATATTTTTAAAGATGATGTAGTTATCCAATTCATAAACCCAAAAGGTAACAATAACACCCACCATGGTAGTAACTCCTGTATTTTGTTCATATGCATATTATCCTCTCGGGCAACTTATAACTGTTGTTTTTCTTTCCAAATTCAGTTCAAGCCTCTATTGCAGCCAACACTTGGGTTGTTAGTGGTTCTCCTCAAACGAAGAGTATGCTCTCTCTCTGCTATACTATATTGTGCTTGTCCACTTAAATTACGTCTATGGTCATATTTTGAATCCTGTCAACTGCTGCTAATCTTTTATAGGGAAAGCAGACATCACTTCTGTTTTTGGACTCATTATGTTAGCTGTACTAGTTTTAGATTTAGACTGACAAGAGATTCAATTTAATCTTTTAATTAATTTCTTTGTCCAGAATTGCAAGATATTCTGCCTGGAATTATTAACCAATTGGGTATGTGCCTTTTCTATTCTATTACTTGCATTTGTTTATTGCGTGCAGTTCAATCATGTAGAGGCAATCATGTATTTACTCCTCTTTTCAGGACCCGATAACTTGGACAACTTGAGGAAGCTGGCTGAGCAGTTCCAGAAACAGGCACCTGGTGCAGGTGCAGGCGCTGGTCCGGCAACAATACAAGAGGAGGATGATGATGAGGTCCCAGAACTTGTGGCTGGGGAGACCTTTGAAGCAGCAGCAGAGGAGGGGCATATTACTACTTAAAGAGCTGTAGAAGGATTTTGTGTCATTTCTTGTATTTGTGATGTTTTTTAGTTCAAGTATTTCGTATGATGATCCTTGTGACATACTAGAAAGTTGTTAATTTTATGTTTTGAGCGATAAAATAACTTATAATATGCCCGAGATTCCTGACATAATTGGCTGGTAAGAAATGCATGCAAATGGAAAATGACCTAGTTCAGAGCTTCCTAACCAGAAATATGAGACCTCTGGATGTTATGTCTGAGAAATGAATAATTTTGTTCTTTGCATGACATTTGTAGAGTTCCTAACCTTTTTTTTGGCATTAGAGTTCATTATTATTATTATTATTATTATTATTTTACTTAGGCTCCCTTTATTTTGACGAACTTTACATTGCAAATATTTTTCATGTAAAGTATTTGTTTATGACTTGGGGGTAATAAACACCCCTTTGGACATTTTTTAAAGAGTAAAAGGATAAAATAGACATGTTATAATTATTTTATGTCAGATTTTGCAGAAAAATAATTTGAGGGCACTTTAACATAATTTTTAAACTATAAGGATATTTATAGTACATTTTTTAAAATAAAGAATAGAAGTGGTTCTCGGGAAGTTATAACATGAAAATTTTCAATATTAGAATTTTAACCTTCAGATGGGAAAAAAGTAAATTTTATGTAAGCAAATTCAATGAAAGTGATTTAAATGGCTCTTGTTATCTTCCTCTGCACATTGCAAAGCCAAAAGATCATCTTATTTTATTTCTCCAATCCCTCGCTCTTGAGAAGTGATTTATAATTTTTTTCCCCACCCTTAGTCCCCTTATTCCAATAACACTTTGCATAAAATATTTTATGAACAACCTATGATAGTTTATAATCTTGAAAAATTTTAAGTGCATAAAACTTTTCATACATAGAGTACAATTACGGAAAATAAATACATGTGTAAAAATTTGTTCAATCCCTAATATTCTATAATATTATCCATCTCCTAGGAAAGTTGAATTTGAAATTTCACAAAATTCAACTAATATTCAAATTTCAAATTGTTCAAGTTGAATTTGAAATTTCAGTTCAAACATCAAAACAAACAAATGAACTCTTGCACTGACCCAAACCTCACAAATAGCTAACATGTTGTCCAGCAACCACGACAATATAATACTTAACTCGAGACCAAATCTTGTCACGCAAATACCCAAATGTAACTTGACGAGTGTAAACTTATTGGATTTGTCGTCATTTTTCTACTCTGTCCTAAAAATAAATAAATAAAATTTACAAAGCAGTTGAAGAATTGGAGCTCGAGCACGGTCTTTATAAGGCTCAAGCACTAACTAGCGCTCGAGCGCCATTTGGCTAAAATGGCTGAGTGTAAGGTGAAAAGACGCTTCGAAAAATCTTCTCAAAAATTTGTCTGAGTGTCAAGAGTGCTAGAGCGCTAATACAGCTCTTGAGCGCCATTTTGGGAAAAAAAAAATGGCTAAGTTAGAACAGGGGTCGAGTGCTATCAATGGCGCTTGAGCGCCCTCGTGCCTGGAAAAATGCTAAGTGCGGGATAAAAGTTAAAACAAACATTTTTGACTCTAGATGGGCGCAGATGATCCCAGAAGTCCTAAAGGCCATCCAAAAGGGAATAGAAGTCAATTTCTTCTATAAAAGAAAGTGAAAGGTCATAAAGAAGGCTCTCTTGCAATTTTTCAGATCTAGCGGTGGCTTTTAGGGTTTTGGAGTTCTCTCTGAAGACAGAAGAAGAAGATCACAAGAAGAGGAGTTGCAGTCCATGAAAATGCTTTCTACACCAACAAAGATGATATCCTCTATCTTCATGAGTAGCTAAATCTCCTCTTAGGGCATTGATGTAACCCGAATCCGAATAATATAGTTTGATTATTCTTTAACTTTGGGGATTTTACTTATTTATATATTTTAATTGCATGATTATGAGCAATTGACTTAGGTCTTCTAAGCAATTGAAGTTTTATTGAAATAAATTTGATTTTTGATGAAATTAATATTTTGTCTTAGAATTGATTTTACTTTTGTAATACCCCTAATTTTAAAAGGATAGTCTCGGTATTTATTTATTTGTTTTAATCGTATTTTTAATTTTTAATTGATTATTTGACTAATTGCTTATGTGTTTAATTGAATTAGGTATTACTTGATTATTTGATTATGTGTCTATATATTATTTGTATTTGTCTATGTGTTAATTGTTTAATTAGATTATGTGCTTAAATGGTGTTTTGATTAATTGTAAATTAAATGTTTTCTTTTCTTTTATTATTTTATTTTATTTTTCTTTTATGGTTATGGTTAGTAGTAATGGGCCAACCAATTGGGTCCCATGGAGTACTTGGATAGGAGGTTTGATGTGTATGGATTATTACCCATGGATAGTTGTGTATGTATATATATAGATATATATTATATACATACATAAAAAGGAAAGTAATTTATTAATTACTTTTATGGTAACTTAGGTAATAATATTTAATCTGATGTATATGTTTGATATTTAAATAATAAAAATATACATAGATTTGATACGTGTTATGTTTTAAGTTACTTTATAATATTATGGTAACTTAAATATCATTGGATAATCCATTAATAAATAATGGAATATATATAATTTATTTATTTAATAAACATATACATAAATTATATACATAACATATTTTACTTACCTTTTTAATATATATAAAAGGAAAAGTACTTTATTAATTACTTTTATGGTAACTTGGGTAGTAATATTTAATCTGATGTATATGTTTTATATTTAAATAATAAAAATATACGCAGATTTGATACGTTTTATGTTTTAAGTTACTTTATAATATTATGGTAACTTAAGTATTATTGGATAATCCATTATTAAATAATGGAATGTGTATAATTTATTTATTTAATAAACATATACATAAATTATATACGTAACATATTTTACTTACCTTTTTAATATATATAAAAGGGAAAGTAATTTATTAATTACTTTTATGATAACTTGGTTAGTAATATTTAATCTGATGTATATGTTTTACATTTAAATAATAAAAATATACATAGTTTTGATACGTGTTATGTTTTAAGTTACTTTATAATATTATGGTAACTTAAATATTATTAAATAATCCATTAATAAATAATGGGATGTGTATAATTTATTTATTTAATAAAGATATACATAAATTATATACGTAACATATTTTACTTACCTTTTTAATATTTTAATATTTATTTTTTTTAAGTTGACTTAGATTGGGAAAAGGGTTAGGGTTATTTTATTTAGCTTATAAATATATAGCTATAGGTTGTAAATGGGGGTTAGAAATATTCACGTGATATATTCTAGAGAGAGAGAGTTAGAGAGGGAAGGAGGAAAAGGAAGGAAGGAGGAGAAAAACCCTGTAGAGAGAAGATCAAGGAAAAAGAAGTTTAACTTTCAATCCGAAAGTTTAAGGCAAGTTCTTCTTCTATCTCTTTCCCTTTGATTCGTGTTTCTGTACATGCCTAGAAAATTTCAGGATATATTAAACACATAAAATTAAATAATTATGCATGTTTAACTGGATTAAAACATAGGTTTTTATAAAATTGGTTCATATCTGTTCTTGTGTTATGAATTGATAAATGCATGATTTTGATTTGATTTCTGGTGTGAATTTTTACATGTTTGAATTATATATTTTTCATATCTGTGGAATGATGGAACATAGAAACATACCTAGGATTCCTGAACATTAAATAGGGACTAGGTTTGGGTTTAAATAAATTTAAATACACTCAATAATAACGATGCTTGCTATTTGAATGTTTTAAACAAACGAATTGATTTAATCTTTTAAAATGCTTTAGCAATTGAGATTAAATGTGTAGGATGAATTGGATATGGAGAATGTTTATTTGACGATATAATAAAATATCATCATGTATAAGATTCAGTTTGTATAGGACATATGATATAGGAAGCTGAAATAAATAATAAGTCGTTCATATTATGTGATAACTTGATATCATATTATTATAGTTATTTCTAGAATGTTTGATGTATTTCTTTAATTGTTACATCAATTGTTGGATTGTGTGGTTTAATGCACCGGTATGGGATGGTGGCATTCTAGGGACGGATTAACTTATCAGTTAAGTCCTACCTATTTTATATAAAGGAATGGATTAATTAAAATGTTAAGTCCTACTTATATTGAAGTTAGGTCAGTTTAACAAGTTGAATGACTTATGGAGGATTAATTTATTATATAAGGGAATGGATTAACTAAAATGTTAAGTCCTACTTATATTCAAGTCAGGTCAGCTGAACAAGTTGAATGACTTATAGAGGATTAATTTATTATATAAGGGAATAGATTAACTAAAATGTTAAGTCCTACTTATATTCAAGTCAGGTCAGCTGAACAAGTTGAATGACTTATGGAGGATTAATTTATACTGGATAGGATGGTTACTAGATTATATATATATAAGTATGGTGCCATGATACGAGCTTGAGTCTCAGGATCAGTGGTTAGGGTGCGTATATCGCCAGGGATGTGTAGCTAGATATAGTGTAGTTGTGTACCCTAGTAGGTCTAGGTACTCATGCCCACTATATGTGCGTTTTGCATGTTGCCTACTATTCAGGTTGAGACAACCTTATAGTTTAGCGAGGTTCCTTTAGTGTGTATATATATATATACGGACTTCTAGTTACTGTTGGATTGACTAGGATATACACGTGTATCGGATCTCTGCTTGGACTGTAATAGAGTAGAACATGTTTGTAGGCCTAAACCACTATTATTTTTCAGGTGTTCTTCAGGAGTAGAGGTTGTTCGTGCTGAGCGGGGATCAGTCTACTTCATTCTTCCAATGCTACATAGGAGTTCCTTTATGATTCAGTTTCCTGATTTTGATAGTTATTGTTGTCATTTGTTTAGTTTGGATTTTCTAGGGGTCCACACAGTATGGATTCCCGAGTTGTATTTTGGAGGATCAGTTGTATCATAAGAGTTTATTAATTAATGAAAATATATTCTGAGGTTTATTATTAGATTATCATTTCAGCAATTTATTTATTCTTCTTTATTCTTTTGTACTCTGTGTTCGTTTATTGTCGATTTTGTTTTTGATATCATCGGGTATTCGGGCGTGGGCTTGGCCAACCC